CATATGACAGTGGCTGATGTAGTCATTCATCAGCAGCAAGTGGGGCTCCCGCTGACACAATCTTTGAGCAAGGGCCAAAGTGGGACCCTGCCTGTCCCCTGAGGTCTGGATCCAACTGCCCCTCACGCCAGAGTGGAATGGGGCCCAGTTCCCGCCCAACGGCACAAGCTCTGAGAGCTGCTGAGCCCCTGCCTACAGCGTGTTTCCTTCATCACATTGGTGCTTCGCAGGGGTGCGGGCATGAGATCGTGGCAAAGTCGCCCCACAGACAGAGTTTCTTAGATCGCACACCACAGAAGTGAACCGAGACGCTTCTACCATGTAACTGGCAGGCTTGCCCTGCTCTGCCTTAACTTCCAGAAGGACTAAGATGGAAGGAACTCAGCTGCTGCTTTCTTCCACTTCCCTTTGCAGAGTAAGCAAGACATTGTCAGGAAAAAGGTGGGAGGGCTGTGAAGGGGCTTTGTGGGACCAGGGGCCCCAGCTGGCCTGATGGACACCCCAGTGCTGCTCACCGAGACCTGAGAGCCCTGCCTGGCGGCTCAGGCAGTGCTGACTGAGCACAGAGGCGACCGGCCGGTAACTACAGCTCTGCATCCCGGGCCCCGCCCACATCTCTCGCAGTGGGCTCCACTGGTGGCCGCTGAAGGTGGCCTATAATAATGGCTGCTGAACACAGTGCTGGGGGGGGGCCACGCACGAGGACGCGAAGGCCACGCCAAATTAGGGTGTCAGGCATGAGGAGGCTCAGAACCACACATTCAAAAAACCCTGAAGCAAGCAGGAGATCCCCGAGAAGCCATAGAAGATTCCATCTTTCTCCCTAAATTAAAAGTTTCTTTCAGTACAAGTATTCATTATAGAAGAAAACATTTCCACTTAATGAAATGTTTCTACTTTGGTTTCTATTTTGGTCACCCCCTTTGAATTTTCTTGTGAGACTTACAATTTCTACCTTGGATTTCAATGATCTATGTCTGTATTCTATTTTCTGTATTAAATCATAAATTCTTCAAAAAAACGATCAGTGTCAGACTGATCTTTGTAATAATCAGCACACACAACAGGCGTGAGTCACAGGATAAAAAAGGGGGTGTTTATTTAATATTACTGGGGAAACGGAATTTTTTCTCCTAGCAAAAACAAGCTAAAATTTTCAGAATCAGGCTGAGACTAACTTCCTCGCCATTCATTTACCAGAGGAACCATGCGAAACAGGCCGCACTCACTTACCTGTCTTCCGTGTTAAGACTCAACATCAGCAATCAGTGCATAAATGACACCTGTGACTCCAGGCCTAGCTGAACTTGAGAGCTAATGGATCCTTACCAATTGCAACTTTGTTCAGGTATAAAATGCATAAGGAATTCTAAGGAGTGAATTAATAAGAGCAGTTTTCAAAGCTGAACAGAGATCAAAGATTAGAACTCTGCGCATTGAGACAAACCCAGTGACAAGGTAAGCCAAGATGCTCATTTTGCTCCTGCCGGTATCAGATTCACAGATTCTAGATTTTGGTTGTTTAAGCCAGTTCTTTCAAGTTTCCTTCCAACTACGTCCCATCAGATCACTCAAGCACCCCGGTCCAAACTTTCAGCACCACCTGCTATGACATTGTACCAGCTTTCTAACTGGTCTTCCGGTGTCTCTTACAATTTCCTCTCAACCCAGCAATGAAATCATCCATTCAAGAGGTATGTTAGATCATGCCATTTCCTTGAACACATTTCCTTTAATTATTTCTTATCTCTGAAATGAAAATGTATAGTCCTCACAAAGGCCTGCAAGCTCCCACACCACGCAGGCCCTGTCTTCCTTAGACTCCTTCCTTTCCTCTGCTCACTCCATTTCACAGTGGCTGCTGGGTTGTTCCTTAAGGATCTCGGGGCCTCTGTCCTTGCTGTGCTGTGCACCTGGAAAGCTCCCTTATCTCCTCAGGCTTTTGCTCAAATATCACCTACTCAGGGAGCCCCACCTTGACCACACTATTAAATCAGCCCCCCACCCCAGACCCTCTGGTACTACTCATTCCCTCCCCTTACTTTTTCTCTTTGGATGTATCCTCCATCTTACACATGATATTTTGACTTTACTTCTTGGTTATTTCTTGCTATGAATATATAACCTTCATGAGAGCAAAGATATCTGTTTTGCTCACTGCTAGATTCTTGGCACTCAGAAAAGGGTTTGGCACATTGAACTCAACAGTGAGTGATGAGTAACTTTAACTTTTTAAAGAAATTTTAAGATAAAAGAGCACAAAAATGGAGTGCGGGTAGAAACGGTAAGATTTATGTTTTAGATTTTTAATAAGGTAGATTGACTACATGCTAACTGAAATAATCAGGGGAGGGGGAAAATCTGATTGTGTTCTATGTGAATCATACTGTCATGTAGGCAGTAAGAGCTGGCACAGCTGGAGGGACAATGGCCTTGGATGGGCACAAAGAGAGTTTATAGAAACAGGAGAAGAGGTGAAGAAAATAGATACGGGTAGGTGAGAGCTTGTAAAATTTCACTGATTGCTTCCAATTTCCTCATCAGCTAGTTTCCTTTCTGTCTTGTCTGAGATGAAATAAGAGAAGAGGCATCGGAAACTTGAGAAGTAGAAGAAGGTATAAAATGATTCTCTAGAAAGAGGGAATGAGGATTAATGAGGAGGAGGCGGTAGGGTTACCAGGTGCTTTGCAGTTGGTGATGAATTTCAAGTGCGGCCAATCAGCAGGAGAGGCTGTGCGCCTGCCGCTCAGGTGTGCGCAGGAAGTGCAGGGTGGTGGCACTTTGCCAGGAGAACATGGACCAGGAAAGCTGTGCGGACTCACTGTTGGAGGTGTATGTCATGAGTCAATCAGAACGATGGCCATGCGGTCTAGGCCAGGTAAGGTGGGATGTGAGGGTAAAGGGGTGAGGGCAGCGTTGGTCAGTTGCTGGCATGGCTGCCCTGTGGAGCTCGGCCTCCTCTTCCTGGAAGGACGCCAGTCCTTCAGACCCGCCTTCAGCATGGCGTCTTCTAAATTAAAATGCCTGCACTGACCCGTGACAAGGTTAAGGCTTCAACATATCTGGGAAACAGCTCAACCCACAGGTCAACTGGGCTGTTGACAAAAACACATCTTTTGTGGATGTGTTTCATGGTGTTCATATTTAAGTTGCTTGGGGTCTTGTCTGCTCAGGCAATGAGGCCTGGTAACCAAGTGCTGTAGCAATTCCCATCGCTTGTAAAAGGCACGAAAACCTCAACAGGCCAGGGGTGCTCTAGACTGTGCGTGTGATGCACACATGTGCAACTACCTCTTGGGCTCTGGGATCCTGCCACCGAGCCTCCTGGGAGGGTCTAGTGGGCTCAGAGAGGAAATATGAATGAGGAAGTCGGGGTCTTGGTGCCTCTTGTACTATTCTTGTAACCTATTGTTTTACAAATTTTGACCCAACCAAATAGCTAGGTGCCCAGTGGGCTGGGTGTGAGGGAACCTGAGGGGCTTGGCCTAGAGAGGAGAGGAGAGGCAAGAGTCTCACCTGGGTCTTTAGTCACGAGCTGAGCCAGGGTCCCAGAGATTCCAGGCTCCAAGATACTCAACGGTGCTACCCGAGGTACCCTGGCTCTGGACATGACTTCTACCCTGCTCTTCCTAAAAAAGTCACATGAGGAGAGGCCGCTCTTCTGTGCTGCAGAAAATCTGGCAATAGCCACGTCTGTACATGGACCAGCTGCCGAGTCTGCTACCAATCCCCTGAACGCTGCGAGCAGGATCTGAGCCCGGGAACAGCCTGGGTCTGCTCTGGAAACTGGGACCCCAGGTCTGGGGAAAAGAGGGGTGAAGACAGCTTCTCCCACCAACCAGCAGGTAGCAACAGCGTGAGTCTTTTCTTGCAAATGACTGCAAATCAATAGTCACTTCTGCTTCGATTGCAAACTCACCACAAACTCTGGGCTGGGAAAGTCCAAATGAATGAGGTTCCTGATGCTGAGGGGAGTACGTGGACCCTGCCAGGATGGGGCTAGCTGAGCAGGGAGGCAGGCAGGGCTGGGATTTGAAGGTAATGTCTTTCATGAAAGATGCAGAACTCGGCTGTCTGTCAGCGGTGTCCCTGCCTCCTCCACTTCCTACACAGCTTGTAAGAAACGGGAGTCCTTCACTCCATTACTCTAACTGAATTCCAACTTGGGTAATTATACTATAATTAAATAAATTTCCCCCACAGTTTTAATTCAGTGACAAATAGTGCTAGTCAAACAGCTACATTTCATTCCCAGAAACGCATCCCCCCACTATATTTCAGTGATAAGTGGAATGATTTATAATTGGGACATGTGTGTATGAAAAATGCACAGTACATAAAGTATTTTAGGTATCATTCATGATTACATATGCTTTTCTCAGCATGAGATAACATTAATTTCTATTATATAATCTTTCATCTAACTTTTCATATGCTCAGTAACAAAAGAAATGATAGTTACTTAGCGGTTCTTATTTTCCATATACAGTTAACCAGTAGCTTGTATTTTCGGTTTCTAAGCACATGTCATTATCTCTGGGAGACAGACTGGGGTAGGGACTTCTGCTTCCCATTCTACAGATGAATCAATGAAGACCAGATTCCCCACAGGAAGGAAGCCAGTTACCATCCTTCCAGCCTTGCAGCACCGCATCACTAGGAATCACGTTAGTGATTACAAGAAAATAATCACTGAGTTTAGTGATAATGAGAAAACAAAGTGGAGCATGTTGTGACCTGTGTCATGGGCCGGTAATTTGTACCAAAGAAAGATTGAGCCAGGAGTCAGAGGCCTGGAAACTGGCCCGATACCGGGCTTCCCTAGATCTTCAGGTGACCGGGGTCCTGTGGCCGGCTCAATCAGGCTGGAAGGACAATTCAAAACGAGATGAACAAAGGACCGAAAGGACTCAACTCTCCATTTTATCCTTATGACCTTTCAAAAAAGGTCGGCGGTGGCTTTTAACAGGAGATACTAGAGGCAATATCAAAATACTCACAAAGAGCAGCAGGAGCAGGGGTGTTACGACGATGCCCTGAAAGAAAGAAGAGAGATGATGATCATGTATCAGCCTCAAAAGCAGGACACTTTCTTTGCCATTTTAAACTTTAACCTTCTTACTAAGGTTGAATGAGATCCAGGAGGAGAATTAGAGGGAGCCCCAACCTCTGCTCTCCGCCACAGTCCAGCAGTGTCTGTGCTACAGCCACACAGTGGACATCAGTATCAGGACTACTGCCGATCTGCCCTTTTTCACTCCTAAGTTCTTTCTGCGCTACATGTGGGTTATTCGGGTGGAAGCTGGCAAGCCTCCTCATGCCAAGGCTTTCAACTCTAAGTTGGATAAAGTGCCCCCTTTCCAGAGAAGACAGGTGGTTTGGTCCCAGTTGGGGTCCTCTCCTGTGCAAAGACCATGTCAGTGGTGATGAATGAGATGTCGTGATTTTGTAATGTGAACTGATCTCCCCTAGGAAATGAGCTGGGATCTCAAAACTCATTTCACTTGATTAGGCTCCACGTCTCCATGGCGGAAGGCAAGTCTTTCATCTAATTCAGCCACATAGGACCACCTCAGTCCCTCTGCCCCCTAGGCAGAAAGGAGCAAAAGATTTGTTTTCTTCGATGACAGGGAACAGTTTGAGGCTCTTGTCGAGGAGGCGAGATACAAGCTTTAGGTGTCTTGAAGGTAAATCTTTAAAACGGGGCGTCTGAGTTGGGAGTTAACCTGACAGGTTTCAGTCTTGGAGGAGCAGATGATGATTCACCTGTCTCGGTTTTCCCTTCATCTCTCTATACTGCATTATGATTTATACAAGAAAAAGCATTTCATATTTTCATTAATGAATTCTACTTGGAACTTGAAAATTGCAAAGACTCTGTGTGGGGGAGAGTGGGGAGGGGGGAACAGACGAGCAGACAGGTGGCAGCAGACAGACTGTGACTGAGACTACGCCGTGCCCAGGATCCAGGTCTGCGACCACTTCACTACTGCAGAAAAAGCCCTTTGGTGTTTGCGGGGAAGTTCTCTTGTCAGTACAGTAACTAAATTCCCTTGGATGAGGCCCAAGACGAACAGCTTCCTCCTCTGAGCACTGCCGCCAGGCGCTCTCGGCCTGTGCACATGAGAAAGTCCACACGCAGATGAACGGTCTTTTCTGCGAGGACTTTTGCCATCACCATAGGGAACACATTTAATACAAGTGTTATTCTTTACAGTCTATGTCTTAAAACATATATTGGGACTTATCAATTCTATCGGTGTCTACAAAATAGGTTCTTGTCAGCACATTTAGGAGAGCAAACCGTGCAAAAAACCTAACCGGTTGGCATTTTTAAAGACCTATTGTCCTTCAGGGACTTGGAGCATCCCCAAGCCTAGGAGGCGTTCCAGACTTCACAAGGCCACATGGAAACGAGTTATGTGGCTGTCTTAGAGTATATGGGAGGCATCCGACTCCAAGTCAATTTGTTCAAAAGTTTATTGAGTGTCCACTTACATGCCTAGTACTGTCCCACCCACTAAAGAATTAGCAGAAACTGACTTGACAGAAAGGGGGGGTGGATATTCTAGGAAGAGGGAAGATCGCTGTGCAAAGTTGATAAGCAGGAAGAAGTGTCCCAGCCCAGCTGACCAAAGGCCTGGAGCGTCTAGAGGGAGCTTCAGTGTATACATGGAGGACGAGGACAACAAACTACTGAGGAACTTAAGAGGAGGGCTAGTGGGCTGCTAAATTATTTAGCATACGGAGAATGGATTTGACCTTGCTATCTATCAGTTCAGATTAAAAAAAAGAAGAAGCAGCAGCACATGTTAATGTCAATAATGGTATAACAATCGCACGAATAATGCTTCTGAGAATGAGGTGTGACATCTGATCGCCCAAGTATCCTCATGCAGGAAGACGGGGCACTGTCACCACTCTGGGGACATCTGTCACGTGTTAGAAGAGTTGTGGCCATGTTGGTGTCCATATATACTGTACCCTATACCAATAGGTACAGTAATGGGCCCACTTCACCATCCTTTGCGGTTGTCGACGAATGACGGCTGCAGTGGTAACAGCCTTAACACCACTTGTGGCATCTGGCTTCAGTGCTTTCATGAGCATTTTAAAATGGGACCCTCCCCTTAAGAAGGGGTAAGATTACACAATTGGGCCCTCCCTGGTGGTGCAGCAGGTTAAAGCACAGCACTAAGAGGCTTAAGCCACTTTGCATGAGTTCGACCCCCACCTGCCCTGGAGGAGATCCACATGGCGTGCCAGACCTCTCCTGACCTGCCCGCCGCTCCCCTCAGCGGTGTACTTCATCGATCTGCCTGTTCTGCTCCCCACTCTGTCTCTGGTGAATCCTCTCACCCTCCGCATCTCTGACCTGTACCCCAGATCTGTATGAATAAATAAATCCTTTTTAAAAAAGATTTATTTTATTCATACAGAACTGGGGTACAGGATAAATACATCTTTTTTTTTTTTAAGATTTATTTATTTTATTCATACAGCATACAGAACTGGGGTACAGGCCGGAGATGCAGAGGGTGAGAGGATTCACCAGAGACACAGTGGGGAGCAGAACAGGCAGATCTACGAAGTACACTGCTGAGGGGAGCAGCGGGTGGGCCAGGAGAGGTCTGCCAAGCCATGTGGATCTCCTCCGGGGCAGGCGAGGATCGAACTCATGCAAAGTAGCTTAAGCCTTTTAGTGCTGTGCTTTAACCTGCTGCACCACCAGGGAGGGCCAGAATAAATAAATCTTTAAAAAAAAAAAAAAAGGAGTAAGTTTACACAATCACCCCATTTTATCGATGAGGAAACTGGAGTTCAGAAAAGTCAAGCGATCAGCTCAAAGTCACACAGCAAATAAATGGAAAAGCCTAGACTAGAGCCCGTTTTCCAACTCCAGATCCAGAGCTGACTCCACTGCGTGTCTGGTCCTTCGGTGGCAGATTTCATCGGCCAGTAGTTTCCCACAGAGTTCTGCTTCAGATATAGAAATAGTGACTAGGTGTTCTATGATCTTGGTCTCAAGTGGTTTACCACTTAGTGGTAACTTCATTCTGGAAGGCTGAACACTATTACCTGAGGCTTTCCTGCCTGACTATTTCAAGGGTATCGTCCCCAACACACAGTAGTCTCTGCCAGTCTTCTCAGGACTTAACAACATTTATTCCTAATACATGTAAAAAAGAAAAAATCCCTAGCAATACAGTGCACTTCCTACTTCTGGATCCAATGGCCCTCATTATTTTTTCAATCATGGCTGCTCAAGTTCAGAAGAATGACCTGTTCTGGGACACTGGCATCTGCTGTTGTATTAGGAAACGAGTGGGCCTTGGCACCACTAAGAGTGCCATTAAGATGTTTTGGTGAAGTGGTTACAATTATGGAAATGCGTGTAGCCGGTATTTCCAGCAGGCACATCTCACTGATGCGCTAAGGGTGGTGTGAGATACATAACTCTCAGTGCCCTGGGTAAGGAGCACTTCCCATCCAGCAGGAAAGGAAACAGAATCTCAAAGACCAAGCCAGGAATCACTATTGCTTGGACTCCAGGTCTATGCTCCAGAGTGGTGCGAGTGAAATCTCTGCAATTGTATGCTGTTTCCTCAGGGTGAGAGCTTAAGTCAACCTGAGAGTAGATTCAGACCCAGTATTTTTTGATTAACGTGAAAAGGTTGAGAAATAAGCCTTTGGCGGTGCTAACATGGCTAATCTGTTCTCTAAAGTCAGGTTTTTGCAAATATCAATGGAAAAAGGGACTAACTGAAAATTTTAAACCATAACAGTGACTATTCTTGGAAGCTGTCAAGTCAGATGAACCTGTTATTCTCTCTTGGGTAGAGAGAAGGTTCAATTTGATTACCTTCGCCTTTCTCTTTCCCAGGTAAATCAGATACAAATGGCTAACACCAAGGAAGTTAGAATGAGCACTTCTGTCAAAAGGTGCTACTCTTCCTTATAGATTCAAGGTCAAGGCCCAGTTTTTGCATCCTCCATCTGGATAATGTGTTAAGCTTTTTGAAGGTGACACCTGAAGAAATCAAGTGACAAAGTGACTGTCTTTGATTGTCTTTTAAAAATCCTTTGGAAAACCCATTTACACCTCTGATGTGAATGACTGGGTGAATATATTTCACTGACTTGAGCAGAAAGGGGGAAAAAAGTGTCAAAGCTGAGACAGGTCTGCTTGCATTAAAACACAAGCCAAAAAAAACCCTCCCAAATAAAAACAACAACAACAAAACTGGATGCATTTCTCTCGGCACTTGTTAAAACAAAACTGAAGAGTATTATCATTGTAAAAAAAAAAAAAAAAATGTAGAAAATGGTACCAGGAAGTTTTGCTGCAACAACTGTTGTGACCCAGGTACTAAAATTGACTTCTTGGGCTTCTCACCCCAGGACATTAAGTAGGTCTTGGGAAAGTGCTTTCCATTTGTAACTACAGGGCAACAGCTTGATTTTCACGGAAGAATATCGGTTTTGCAAAGGCTCTCACAGTTACTCCAGAGCAGAGCTCGCTGTCCTTCTCCCACCCCTGAGCCTCAGTGACACGAGATTGTCACGCCTGCACCTCTGCACTGCACCTGTTAGGAGAATGTTGTGTCTGAGGCACCAGCGCTCCCCCACGGGGAGCCAGCTCTTTCTTAAACTGAACACAGGCCATGCCCACCAGAGGCCTTAGCCCCATCTCCCTCTCTGGGGTACCTCATCCTCCACCCTGTGTTGGTGGTCTTTTTGCTTGAACACACTCTCTGCTTGGGTGCTGCAGTCTCTGCACTGTGAAGCTGTTTTCTTGGGATTCAGTCTTACAAGTAACGCTAAAATGAGCCTTTGAGTTCCCACACAAGGTCTTCTCCAGGCTTGAGGTTTTGAGGTCCTCCAAATTCCCCAGATGAATCTAACAGCCACAATACTTGCTTAAAAACTGACTAAAACTTGAAAACAGACCACAGAGGGCTGTGGAGGGCTGTGTGTCCTTTCAACGTCAGCCTGCAAGACCAACTCAAGGGTGATAACATGACCTGGACAGATA